AGGGACATACACAAATGTATTTTGTGTATATCTATATCTAGCATCTAGCATTTTGTTTTATTTTACTGGTTTGTTGTTTAAAAATAAATTTGGATTTGGGCTATAAGGAGAGGTTTGTGAGATAGGAGTAAAAAACAGTTCATTTCCACAAACACCTTCACTGACTTCTTGGATGGTTTCCACTGATTTGAGTTTTAGCATATTTAAATCCTGCTCTCCATAGGTAAGCCATAAACAGAAAAAAGGAAAATTTCAATGATGCTTCATGACTTTTAATAGACCTTTGCATGATTTATTGATGTAAATATACTTCAAATAACTGGTTGGACATTAAAGGGCAAATTAAGTGTTTTTTCTTTAACAGACAATTTGGCAATGAACAGTATAAATAGAACATAGCCATCACCACTTTATTTCAAGTCATTCCAATCTACTATCAATTTCCTTTCATATACAAATTCAACTTTTTTGTAACCTTGAATACCTATAAAACTTGCATAATGTAACATGTTATTTACACTGTGTATGAGTCACAAATAATTACAAATAAAAATTATACAAAAAGATTAAAATGTATCATTATGTGAAAAGCAAGGAAGATATAGTAAATGTTCTGATTAACTATAAATGCTTACATATTTGTACATACATTTCTAATCTGAAATTGCTAGATGATATATCTGATGTTTTGATCAGGAATATTAGTTCTTATGCTTGCATTACTGGAGAGGAAGCAATATTTTCAGACATAATGAGCCACTTAAGAAACATTTATGGAACTGCATAGAATGAAATATATTCTTTTTAAAAAACAAAAATAAAATATTTGACATTTCAAAATATAATCAATTTCACTCATGCCATACAGATACATTGCATATTAAACCAATACTGTAAGATGGCATCGCAAATAAATCATAACAGAGCTATAACGTTTTTAAAATAAGCAATTCACATGGCATTTGTATMATAAAATAGCAGATGTACAGTATTATTTACATTGCAAACCAAAGAGAGAACAACCCCATGAAACTGCAGCAAACGAACCATTTGAAATATTGATCACAGACCTGATTCATAAAATATATGTGTAGGCATGTGTGTRAGAAGTGTGTAAGAACCATCCTTGGATGAGTGAGGCCCACAGAACCAGCTCCACATCCAGATGCAGCCAGGGAACAGCATAGCCCCGTTCCTGGATGGAATTCCTGGATGGAATGTGCTGCACAACAACACATTGGTTCTGTCTACACACTGAGCACTACCCAGCAAATGGAACACCTCCAGGATCTGACCACGGATGGTTTTGCACAGCAGGGAGTGGAGGATATGGTTTCAGAGCTCTTCGCAGACTTTTAGCCCAAACAAGGACTCCTTTATGTGACACAGGAGCCACAYGGTTTTGTTTTGTGAGGATTACCAGGAGGTAGGAAGCCTGCAGCTGTTCAGAACGAGGGGTGTCTGGCAGGGCAMTACTGACCAGGGTTTGGACTGCGCTGCAATCATTGCTTTATTTGTGAAGGATCAGGACCGCCATTGGTCAGTCCYGATCCACAACATTCAAAGTTCCTACCACAAAACCCTGCTGGAAACTGAACTGACAGTACCATGCAGTACCAAGTACTACTTGCCATATCCCAGTGGGGTATTTGGGCATTTCAGCAACCAATCTTGAGACAGTGGTTATTAAAAAGGACAAACACCTCCTGCCCTGTGGCAGGATTAGAGCTGCTCAGGATAAAATTTACCTATGGAAACTGAGATGGAACTCCTCTGAGACAGCTGGKCAGTGTTGACCACTGTTTTTGAATGGTTGTAGTTCCACATCTGGAACACAAAATTTGATAAATGAGCTCTKTCTCACAATTGTCCTCATTTGTTTCTTTTTTTCTTTCCCTCTTATTTTCCTTTCCTTCTTATTTTCGTATATTTCTAGATAGTTTTCATGACACAAGAGAGAGTAGGTGGTACAAATCACGTACTCCTGCCACCATCTGAAATTCCAATTGCTACAAATTCCATTTTTCCTCAGGATTTGCCACACTGAACTGCACAATCATGTGTCTGCATCAGCTGAGCAATGTGCCAACATGTGTTGTGCCTGTACACATCAGCTCTACAGCATAAGGTGAGCCCAGTGAACTCAAGAAATTGGTCTGCCCCTAGCAATAAATCTAAAATATCCATACAAAATTTCTCACCTGAGATACAGAACTGTTCTGCACATGTTTAGAGTGGCCTTTTATCCAGGATTTCCAGGCACTGAGCAGCCAAAAAAAATCTACTGACATGGTTGAAGATGTGAAAAAATATCAGACAAAGAAAAAAAGGTACCACAAAAGAGATAAACTATCTTGTCTGTGTGGGAAAGCAAGTCTGTGACATACTACCAGATGMAGGCTGCAGATATGAGATCTCGAATAATGCAGAGACACAGACTAAAGCAATTTTTTTTTCTTTTTTAAGCTATGGGAGAGGAATAATAAATGCAGTCTGGGTGGTATCTTGAGCAGACAACAATGTAACTGAACTGGTGCATTTCATGTCGCCCATGATTTCTAGTGAATTGGCTACTTTTGCATCTGCTAAAGTCTGGATAGACTGGATTGCATCCGGATTGCATTTGCTGTGCAACTGGCACAAAGTCACCTGGTAACTTTTTTTGCTTTGGAGACCTTTTGGCTTCAGAAGAAAGAAAGGGAGGGAAGAAATAAATATTTCATGAAAAGCTGTTACATGTACCAGCAAATTTTAAAGAACAAAAAACCAACTCAATAACTTTTCCTGTTGTACCACTTTTTTACCATATACACAAAAATTCTTGATTTGTCCTAATATTCTGTCTTCTTTGATCCCTCTTCAATGACTTAGCTCTGAAATAGAGGCATCCTGGCCACAATCAAGAAAAAAATGTTTTCCAGTGAGTTTTCTCAGGAGAAACTTTTTTTATGGATATTGTGCTACTAATGTGACAAGAATTAATTAAAGTGAGCTACCTACCAGAGGATGAGGTCAAATAAAGTGAGAACTGTCTTGAAGAAAACTTGCATGATTTTTTWAAAAAATCCAGATAATTTCTCCACTACAGTACACTTCCACATATAACTGGAAGCAGAAATTAGAACAACTTTTATGAAGGTGCCGGTGTCTACAGCAAAGGCTTCATCAAATATATCCTTTATAATGACTCAAGAAACCTTAAAACTGCATAAGCAATGCAAGGACTTCAGAACTTTCTCAGCTGAACTTCAAAGGATTTTGTTGTTTTGCTGAGCACTAGTAACTCATACATAAAATTCTGGATCTATTTATCTTTATGAATCAGGTACTGTGCAAAAGTCATGTACTGAACTAGCTCATTACTTTTCCCTTTCAAATGCATTAATGGGGAATCAGTAGGATGGAGCCCACCACAAGTAAACCAGAAGCATGAGAAAAGAGTATTTCTTGAATAGAAATGTTACTGTTAGTATTTAGACAAGGCAAAACTTTGCTTGGTCCTGTGAAGAACAAGAAAATCTGTATTTCGATTTTAACATTTATATGAATACTAGCCTAAAACTAGAGGCATTGAAACAGAAGATGTATAGTATATTGTATATTGCTTTTCTTATAGAGTGTACATTATGTTTCTAATATGGTGTCAAACAAGTAAAATCTTTCAGGACAAACTAAAAGGACCTMATTGCAACAAACACCATTACAGCAGGTCACATGATGAAAGCAAGATGTCAAGTCACAACACAGGGCAGGCATGCTGTTAAAAGATAGTCTGGATTGCTCTGAGAAGGCTGTTTTATCCTTCTGCTACCTGTTAACAGCATATCTGCATGAGTTTTGTAGTTTTTTCTTCTTGTTTGAGGCCTTCAGTGGCTTTGACAAAAGAAGGGTAAAAAAGGCAAACTGTCCTCAGTTAGACTTYGTAAGAATCATATCACCAAAGCCTACTCCAATGGAGGCAAAAAGATAAAATCAAGAAGTATCAACAGAAGTGGAACAAGAACAAGGCTGTTTTATTTCCCCTAAAGAAGGCCCAGGCTATTGGCACTGCTTGCATTTGCTAGAAAATAGAAGTGGCTTATCAGGAGGAGATTCAGGAAAAGCATTCACTGATCTCTCTAAGCCTGCAAGCTTTACAGACAGTATCTGCTTTTCCATTTCCCAGCAACATATGAAGAAAGACCCTTTCCTGTATGCAGGTCTGTGTAAACAGTTAGATGTAAAATAGTGATTTTAAAACAAGAAGAATAAACTAGATTACATTTTTTTTCAGAAGCTCAAAGGATCAACAGCTATCGAGACATACATTCTGTTATAGGAAGAGCAGTACAAATGTTAAAGCTTTTAAGACCGTATATAGTTCACTGCACACACAATTTTCCCATGGCCTACACATATGGCACATCAAGTTTTTACATAGACTCATGTTCCCATGGAGGGATTGTTACTGAATTCTGCTGTTACACAGGTGCTGCAGCCTTGAGTAATTTGTTCAAAGCCACAGCATAGGTCTGGTTAATACAGAAATCACGCACTTCAACTGTTCACAGTCAAAGACACAAATGACAAAACCAAACTTTACTGTTTTGTTCATTTTTTTTCAAGTAGGTAAGTCTTTGGTTAGTAATAAATTCAGTTRGTTTGGGGAAGCAATCATAACTGAAATAACAATTTTCAACCAGAGGTACTTACTAAGTCTGCCAAACAAATCCCAATAAAAAAACTGAAATGCAGCATGTGATAGTTTGTATGGACCCTGCTTCTRTTGGCAGGTGGATTCCTTTGATGAATAGCTAGTTAAAAGACAAGTAATCAGATGCAATTTTGCAACTAATCTTTCAGTTTCAGGGTGGAAAGTTCTTGGTTTATATGCTTTCTGAACTTTTCTGTTCATGCCATCTGACAATAAAACTCTGACCTGCCCCRTCCCTTCCCAACAGATTGCAGGCTGATTTTATTTTAAAATATTTTAAAAATATTTAAAAATTTTTAAAATATTTTAAAATATTGTTCAGATTTACAGAGTACTAAAATTAATCTCCTAACCATTAAGTTGACAAAAATCTCTAGGTACACTGCCTCACCTYCCCTGTGTATTACCACAATGGAAATACTGACATAAATTAGAATTATCCTTTGTCTGTAAGAAATTTTACATAAATAGGTACAGTTCACAAACATCTTAGTGCTGTAAACCCTAAGATAGAGCTCCAGTATTCTTTAATGGCATCCAAGATTATTTTAATGCTAAGCAACCATTGTTGATAGTGCAAGGTCGAAATCTTGTTAGTGCAGAATGCTTGCACAARTCTCTTCGGAGAAGCTTTATAAGACAACACTAAAACAGTATTACAGAACTACACAGAAAGCATTTGTACCCAGGGGATAGCTGTCCATTTCCACAGGAGTGCAGACTTTGAGGCGGTCAATCTTTACATTTTAGGAATACSAAATATTTTCATCCAGCATCCAAAACAGAGAAATTTGAAACAAGACAAGCAGCAATACTCAGCATTCATAAAGCTGAGATTAAAACTGCACTCTRCTGGACAGTACTGTCCCTTTGGTGTGCTCTCAGTAAATGACACACCAGCAATGTGTCTCATAACTTCCTAAAATTCCCACTCCTAGAACATCATGAACTCAGGTGATAATGCAGCTTCCTACAATAATCCAAGTTATCTTCACATATGTCTGGCCCTATTATTAAAGATGTTTGCAATCACTTAGATAGGAATTAGCCCTCAGATTTTACTTTGGCAACACTGAAATTAAAGGGAAATGTTGAAAGATAYAACTCTAAGGCCTCAAAATTAGTTGTCCTCTAACATTACCTTCAGAGGAAATGAAGATGAGCCTGAATAAATCACCAGTTAAATCAACAATTTCAGCTGTTTCCTGGAAAAACTGTTTAAACAAGTACCATAAACATGACTTTCTATTCATGCTTTCATGCATCTCATAACTCCTGATTAGATGGGAGAGTCAGAATCACACTCACAGACAACTGGAAAGTTGTTATTCAGTTCTTCTAGGTGAGATATTGCATGCCAAGTTCAACTTGTTCTCAAAGGCTTTGGGAAGAGACTGAACCATGACTGTGGTGGCCTATGAMTTGCATGCCAATAGGACTAGCTTGTTTTGCAAAAATTTTTCCTTATCATGAATTTATCCCACTGAAATATAAAAATATAAACCACTAGATTCATTAGTAGCCTTCAGTTCCTCCCTTAAGGTTGGCCATAGAGGCRGAGCAAAGTGGCAAAGAGAAGAAAGGGATTATTTGTGGCTATGAAATAATTGGCTGGATTCTCCAGAACAGTGATCTGAAAGCGCCTTAATATTTATGTGTTGCACCTGTGAATTGCAYAAACAGAATACACATACCCTCTTCAAAACACTATGGGATCCTGCAAAGAATAATTTTGGCAGAATTTCAGTAAACTGGGAAAGCTTAAACTCATATTAAGAAGTAACATAAAGTCAGTCCCAGCAGTGGAGCTCACCACATTYAAGGAAAAAAAAGCCAAACAAAACAGTTACTATTCCCTTAAAATACTTTGCTGAAAAATACCTGTGTMATTAATCTTTGGGCTCTGAAGAAACTGAAGATTAAAAACTAAAGGGATGAAGATGGCCATGCTTTTCACTGAAGTAAGAATGGATGCTAAAGGTGCATGATTTGGTTTAGAGTAATCCCAAGGGTAGGTGATAATATATCTGTAGTATCATAAGAKAGCTATCAGACAGTGTCCACATATTTTGTATTATTTATCCCTACATAATSTTTCTACAAATTTAAGCAGACATATCATGTTCTTTAAAATACAAAGTATGCCATGGAATGTGTTCATAATGTGTAGGATGTGCGATGAAGGTAACTGCTGGTGCTGCTTGTCCTGACATTTCTGTTTCACCMCTGAACCATAACACCCTGGTAAAAATGGTACACACTGAATGCCAGATAAACGGCATTGATGAGAATTAAATCCCCAAAATCAAGATTACTCTTGACCTCTTTTACAATGAGGACTTCTGCAAGAACAKAAATTTGCAAAAAGGACTGTAGTTTACAAGATATCCAAAAGAAAATGAGCATAAGTACTCTACAAATATTTTCTCACAGTGATTTGATTCTCTGACATAGGTTATTATTTATACCCTACACTTGTCAATGCCTAAGATCTGAAATGCAGAGATTTTACAACAGAGGTGAAGAAAAGACACATACTACAGAATCTCTRAAGAAAGTGGTGATGGTTATTCCTGAGCCATGCATAGGTTAGCTCCTGAATACATAAGTAAAAAGAATTACTTTTGCTATACTGGAAACTGCATGCAAATGCTGCCAGCCCTGTCTTCAGCTGAGACCCAACCTGYACCTTGCAGAGTTTTTCACCTTGACCAAACAGGCTGAGGTTCCCTATCTGCACTGAATTGCTGCTCCTTCAGGGTCATGCACAATATGGTGGAATTGCTCTGCTGTGGAAAATAAGTAACTGTGAAGGAGAATGAAGAAAAAAYAAGTGGTTTGTTTTGTTTAGTTTGTTAAATCCAAATAGCAATACAAATTTGCAAAATCATGGCACAGAAGAGAACTCTTTAAAATGCAAATGTTTGAGGCAATGGAAAATAATTACCCACTTTTTAGTARAGACATGCTGAGGTTTGGAAATTTGCTTTCACTGTAGCTCTTAGATTTGGGGTTTGGGAGTTTAGTTTTTATTTTTCAGTTGAATAAATTTAGCAATAAATTATTTKCCTCTTCCTCCTGCAAAGAAGATAGAAATGTCAAGCCAAAACCTTCTTTTTCAGTATTCAAATAGTGGCTTTAACATGACTTTCATTGCCTAACTTAAGATACTGAACTTTGAAGGGACTGTGGCCAGACTGATTCAGCAGATAAKGTAGAAACTGCAAGGTAGATTTAGAAGGTGAATAAAACAGAATTAAGACTAAGCCTTACCATTCCTCTTCTCTGTGATTCAGATTATTTTTAATGTAATTTTATGGATGACATGCTTTCAGTTGAGCATTTTTTGCTGCTTTTTCTCCAGATGCTAGGATATTTTGATGYACCCTCACCTCTGTCACTGAATTCACCCTTCTCTGTCAAGCCATAGTGTCTATTTTTAGCTCCATGAGCTACTAATCCAGTTTCTCTGACAACTGCAATTCGTTGGAAGAGAAGACTAGTGTTAYATTGTCTCAGAGATATGAGCCAATTTGAGAAATCAGCTTCTTAGCTGACCTTTAAAACGAGTGAGAATAATGGGCCCGCAATTCCACAGGGTTTGGATTTCATTATCACAGCAGCGGGTGTGAGATGGGCCGCCCCTGCTGCACAGCTCTGCCTCTCTGTTTTGTTTTCCTGGTAATTATAGAAGCTGTTTATTGCACATGGAAAATCTGCAAGTTTTCTCAGCTCTTGAGGACAATACTATCTCCAATCCCTTTTCTCTGGAGAGCAGCAGTTCACAGCGTGGAGGACTGCATACTATTGACTCTTCCCAAGAGGAACTTTCCCACGGACCATGATTGCAGTGAAAATCCCCACAGATATCTAAGGATCAGAATGGCAACTGCAAACAGAAGAGAGACATCTGGGAGCAGCACAGCAGAGTGGCAGCCCTGGCCCTTCCCACCCTCTCTGGTTCAGAGCCTGACACAAGATCTTGTCGGAGAATCTGAGTAATCCAGGTGCATAACAACACAAGTACAGCTCAGGACAGGTCAGACAGAGCTTTAGTAACTGTGATCATAGTGAGAGAACATCCAGCCAGCACTTTATCCTCTGCTCCCTTTCCTTTCCCAAGTGATTGCAGACACCAACCTATATACCGTTCCACCAAAAAAAAACCTGGTGAAGAAAAATTACCATTTCAATGTTAAAAAAATCAATTTCTGGGACAGATGGATTTGTTAAGTAGCTATTCCAAGAAGSAATCAAGCAGTAAATAACATGATGGTTTGGGGAGATGGCTCTTGGTGGATACATCAGATAATACACTAGTACTAYTTTAGAGCAAAAGTGGGGAGCTGGCAACAATCATAGATTGTTAGTTTTTAGTTGAAAGGAGTGTTCTTTCACCAGGATAAAGCTCCCACCWAGATCTCTAAAACTTAAATATTAATGATTTTGCCATCACATCCCTTTCAGTCTGTGGCTGAAGCCTGGCCCTTGCCCCGCTGTATTTGTCTCCATCTGTATTTGATCTTTACATTCTCTCATTCRAACAGCAGTGGGATTCATCTCACCTACAGCACGGCAGCTAATCTGAACCAGTCCTCCACCTCCACACAGTGGTCACTGGGGAGAAAAGAGGAGGGCACATCTGAGGCAGTGGATTATCTCATCCCTAAGACTTTCTCCAGGAAAGTTSAGTCTCTGAAATGCCAGGGTGTCTGCACTGACTGCACAGGGAACTGACCTGACTAGCTCAGACCAGACATAAGTTTTAGATATCTAAAAACAGATCAGCTGAATTTCACTCATTTTTACAGCAATTCCCCAAAACCTTGGTTCTCTAGAGCAYAATGAAACCCAGTGAAACTTGGCACAGTGAGACATAAGAATAATAAGGAATCTTCTAGCATCAAACATAATAATGGCTGCAACTTAGTGAAGTGCTAATTTCCCAGCAAGGCAGTATCAATGTCATGTATTAGGATGGGAATTTTGACCAGAACAGCCTTTGTTTAGACTTTAGTAAAAGGCACAATGCTGTCCTGTCAATAAGCACATCAAAAGCTTGGCTTTGGGATGTTCTGTGTCTCCTAAAAAGCTCCAAACAACTGAGTTAAATCTCAGCCTTCCCARCATGATCTGCATGGCAGATCTTTTACAGAAGCTGCTGGGTGAAATACAATTTTGTTGGAAATTTATAAAAGACAGTTCTTGGTTAAATGTGCATTTGAAAACTCCATATATACAGGACTGTTTGTGAAGYGTGGATTATCTCACAGACTTTTTATCTTTTTAATATGATACCACAGTATTCCACGCCTCCTTTCTGTTTAGGTATTTCTAAACAATATTTACTTAGAGAGCAGAAGAGTCTCCATTTTTTTAAAAAGGGCTAACATTTATCCCTACATACTTTTTTAAGCTGTTCTTACTATAACCCCCTAATTTTCAGTTGGCAAAGTACTTCATTTGCCCTGTTTCATACCTAGTTTTGCATCCAGTATTGAAACCCACAGAGGAATTCTCAGTCCTACATCCAGGAAAGCCAAATAATACAAAAAAGCAGGACATTCTTTGCATTTTGCATTTAAACTGTTTAGACAATTTTTTTGTGTAACTAGAGATTGAACTCTTATTTAAAATAAAAAAAAAAAAAATCAAACTCAAAAATCATGTATTTCTCATGCAGTTCCACTAAAACTTTGAGGATTAYGGACTCTTAAATTCAGCCTTCACAGTTCATGACACTCTATACAATACATTCTTGCATTTTGTACRAATAATCTCTGTGTCATCCAGCTTCCAAACAGATGAAAGCTGACATCAGCAGCACATCTGTGTACAGCTGCCCTCTCCTACACACACACTTCACTTTCTTCAGACACTTTCTATTTATACACTTGCAGGCCCTACAAGAAGTTCCCAGAGAGGGAACTGACAGGCACATGGGACTTAGAGGGGGGATTTCTAACTCACATTTCTAAAACTTATTTAGGCATTTAGAATCTCAGGATCATTCAGCAAAGTAAGGTTCAACTTTCAGAAAGAGGYTGTATTTAAGCAGAGAAAATGGGATTGAGAAGTATGCCTCTTATGTGACTTTTAAAATTTTACCTCCTCCCTCTTAGCAAATACAAATAATCCGAAYTGGGCAGCCATGCTTTAAATGTACAATTTCAGAATGATTTCAATCAACCAGAAGTGCCATAGAAGCTTCTATAACAAAAATACCTATCAGTACCTCCTTTTTATTTTCTATATATTCTGTTCTGATGTATATAATCTGTATACAATCTGTTGTGATGTTCTCTATAATCTGTTCTGATGATGAGCAACTGCTCACATCTAAAAAAATCTCTCCTTGATGGTTATGTATTCCTAAGCTTGTTCTTTTGCAACAAKTTCAGAAACTCTGATATTGATTGAACAGTATGTTCTAATCTCATTAGGAAAGGAAAAGATATTGCCTTAGAGGTTTGTGGTAATAAACAAAYGCTGAAATCGATTAAGCAGTATTTGCCCTCTGTGGGTATTAATCAGTTTTAGCACCTGTTTACTGCTGTGTATAAAACAGAAGTCATCCATTGTATACACCAGCTTGGTTTATTACTCCTATTTATCATTTCTGGGTATATCTTACAACTGTTACCAGTACTGTYGTTTCTAGGATGTGAGACTAGTCTTACTCTGTGGGCAGTCTTTTAAAACACTCTGTTTACATCCAAAACTCTTCTCTAATTCTGGYTGATAGTTCTGATTTTGCTCTTCCTTATTTAAGCAAGTAGCAACATACACTTTCAGAGAACAAACAAAAAAAACACTGCCTCATAAAACCAAATTATTCCATTGCGTGCTCTTCTTCTCTGAGGAACAGGATGGAAGGACAAACAGTACATGTCAGGGTGCTATTCTGCCATTTAATGTCCTGCTGAGAAGTGGTTCAATAAAGTGATAGGTGTTGTACAGGAGCCTACACAGAAGGGATTAGCATGGCTTTAGTTATTGCTTCAAGAATAGTCATTAGAGAGTATTGCTAAGGAATAATTACCTAGAAAACAAGCAGCTCAATGTGAGACCTTCTGCTAATGGAAAGTTAATTTTGGGCCTACAGATTTACAAAAGCACCAAAAAAAATGGGTGTTAATGATAACCTGGCAACTATCTCTCTGTTCTTTAGAATCTGTATTTGTTATTACCATCCTGACTAKGGGATAAGGTTTAAGCAGGCATTCTGGCATACAGCTCAGCGRCACAGAGCTTCTGTACAATTGGGCTAGGGGCTCAAAGTTCAAAAGGTTTTCTAAATCACATTTCTAAGGGCATCCAGGAGTTGTGATTGGCAGTGCTGCTATCAYATGCAAAGGGTTCAGACACCAGGAGAGATGTGCAGAACCGCAGTAGCCCATGCTCTTGACAGTCACCATGGCTACAGTACCAACCCTTTATTTATCCTGGAATATGCTTATCTATCCCTCTGACACTTAGTTTGATTCRATTTATTTTGGCCAATGCACACAGCAGATGATCTGAGACACAGCACTTGGGCTGAACAGAATGTCATTCAGTGGGATCAGTCTCTCTCATCTCAGCCATCTTAAAAAACAGATATCCAGTCTAAGTTTGCCATCTGTGGTCACTGAGAAAGTTGAGCACCCTCAATGAYTTAGGCAGCCTCATACTCTGCCTAAAGCAGAGGGGACAAGTGCCTGAAGTGCTCACCAGTTCTCCAGTTTTCAGGAGAAACTTGATTGCTGGATGCCAAAGAGCGCCAGGCAGCTGGAGGTGCTGCTGCAGCCAGTGTGTCCCTCTTGGTTCACGTTTACTCCACTGTCTCTTTGCCMGAGAACACACTTGTTTCTCTGAAATCCTCTTCTCTTTTTGTCCGAACTAAAACACATTCAGCCTCACTCTGCCTTTGGAAATTAAAATCCCTGGAGCAAACAGCTGGTTTAACATCTGCCTCCACTGATCCTTTCATTAAGGCTCCCAGCAAAGTTGGCACTTTGCGTCACATGTTGTATTGGGCTCTCTGATGTGAACCCCAGTCCAGAGGAAAGCAGACTGAGATGCCTCATGCTGTTTTTAGAGGACATTTTGTTGCTCTAGTGACACAGAGATACTAACCTGGACCACAGATAACTGGAGATCAACCTTTCTGAGCCACAGGAACAAGTCAGCATCTGCAGAGGTGAATGATCTGTTGCCTGTGACTGAGTCATTGCATTCCCCAGTTTCACTGTTTTTCTTGCTTCCATGCACGATTAACAGGCAAGCCACAAAAGATCAATCGTGTATATGAGGTTAAACACTTTACAGATTTTTGTTGTAAGCCTGCTCATGCATTGCAAATTAATAACATCGTTAAGGAGTAACTCCTATCTGCACAGATCAGTTTGGCACTTGCAGAAGCTAAAAACAAGCCATGGGCTGTTAATGCACTGACTTCACCCAAATCCACCAGCAATAACTTGCACTGAGGTATTTTCCCTCTCTAAGGATGTGAGTGCCTGCTGAGCCACTGTAACAGTTTTGCCTTCCTTCAAGTAAGAGTAAGATCAGCCATTTAACCCCAGTTATTCTTTAGATACAAGCAGGCATGTCAAGAACATATGCTAATAAGAACAATAGGAACGATTCACTATCTCTGTCACATACAGCGTGCTAAGGGAAGTGGAGGTCTTTTGGAGAAGAGAACCCTGACCAAGAGCAGGACATARCAGGCAAGATGATTGAATTATTACCAGCAGCAGAAAACAATCAACTCCTACTTGTTGAGTCTGCTGCACACTCAGCATCCTCAATTCATCAACAGCCTCTCCTGTCACTGGCACCYTCAATCCTGTACAGCACTATGAATAATTTATTACCTTGAGGGAAAGGAACCAATTGTCTCTGAGTTTGACAAGCTCTTTTAAGCTTCTTGTTTTGTTGCTAATTTAAGCATGTTGCTATTTCCAATACTACACATGCAAAACCTCGCAAAAGATCACCAGAACCTGGAAATGAAACCAGAAGCTCTGAGACTGCATTAGGACAGGGAATTAGCTCAGGAGCACCKTGAGCTCTGAGCATTCAGCAGAAGTGAGGTGGTGGCCTGAGACTTGGAGTGGAAAACTCAGAAGATGCCCTAAATTTACAATGCTGCTGGTGGATTACAGACTCGTTGAGAGAACCRTTTGCAYGAAGCACGCAAGTGTGACAGCTTGKGGCAGCTGAAGAATTGGAAAGCTGTCCAGCAATTCAACCTGCCCCAACAACCAATGAACATTTCAGACTAATTTGCAATTCAACACAGCACTTTTGGGTGATTCTTTTTTTCATTCATTTTCAAGTTGCCTGAGAGAAGGATTTATTCAGAGCAAGAAATACACAATGTGAAATTGGTTATCAGAGTTTGCGTCTYAGTGCAGTGCTGATACTTTTAAAAGCATGCAGCATGACATGGCTTTGCACTGCTTGATTTATRTAGGAAAAACTGGAAGATGGATGTTAACTATGCCCAATCCTGCTGCTGGGTTTGGTAGGGAACACTGCAAACACAGGAGGAGACAGCACTGTGAAATGGCATGTGCACACACATGAACTGTTAATGATTCAATCAGAGGGATTTCTTCAAAACAGGCAATTCCCATACAAGAATTCCAAGGTTTTAAGAGCTTTGGTTTTCTGTTTGTGGAGGCATGTTTCCAGGCTTCAAAACAGACTCAGATCTGAAACTGTATGTGGGAATGAGCAGAGAAGCCAAAACCACAATCACAGTTAATGACTATTGGCTCTCTGAAATTAAAAATGAAATATCCTTTGGGATGCTGCAAGAAAACCACACTTGGAGAATCCTGGCTTAGCAGCAATTCTCCCATGAAGAGGCTTTTGTCTTTGAATGGCAAATTGTACCAGAGGGATGCAATCAAAATTTATCCACCACCCTACCACTTCATCACTGTTTCCTTTTTCCTCTGAGTTCGTGACCTCCATGCACCACATCACAGAAAAGCCTGTGTGATGGGGAGCTTCAAGCAGATGGAAAARTCTGACACAAGATCTGTAAAAAGATTTCTGGGGAAGCGACTGTTGACTCTCTTTACCTCACGATTTTTGTACAAGAAACCGGCCACAAAGGAGACTGATGAACCCAGCTAGGAGAGTCCTCACATCACCTTCCCTTTGCCTTTTTTGGCAAAACGAAACAGATCTCCTCCCTCTTCCTCCAGACAGGGTGGATTTGRTCTGCACAGAAACTCAAGACAAAAGATGTGGCTACTGGCAGCTACATGAAGACATACAGGCATATAAATTCTTACCCACAGAGGAACAAAAGATCATATCYTTTATAGGAAGGGAAATGTTGAAAGAAAATTCCAGCTAGGATACACAATTCCTGCAACCATTTCAGCACCTCTAACCTCTCCACCTCATCATCTCAATGTATAAAATTCTGAGAACCTTTTTATTTATTAAGTCAATGCCACACAAATGAGAACCTTTTCTCTATCACTAAAAGTAAGTGTTGAAGAAATGTTGAGTCTGATTACCACCTAATTGACATGACAACATAAATCTTCGTAAGTTTCATTTAACATTGCAAAATTGTCCAACAAAGTAAGCTTGCAATCTAATACAAAAAGCAATAGATGCAACTACTAATTTTAAAAGTGCTGAGAATTTGTCTTACACTTTGCTCACACTGACACAGAAAAACGTCTCCAGGGAGCCCACACTTTTTTCATTCATTTCCCTCATCGTAACACAGATAACACAATACTTAACATCTATGCTGCAGTTCTGGATGTTGCCTTTACACAAGGATATAAAAAACAGGGACTGTATATTYTTATACAGTCAGTCTAATTTGGGGAGCTAGATGATTTACTTGCAAATATTATCAATGTATTYGTGGTGACACCAACACCAGTTTTCAGTTCTCACACTGATCTCTCTGATTTCAAATTTCCTTACACAACAATCTCTGAGAGGATGAGGATGGTGATACAAACCAGTTTTGATTGCTTCTCCAATTTGTTTGTAAAACTAGCATTTATTCATCATTTGCTATGAAAATGTTTCCATTGGTCAAGATAGGTGCATTTGTACTCTTCAAACAGGACTATGAGKGGTGAGAAGAGAAAAAGAGCTTGGCCAGAGAGGTTGGTCTTCTGACATCAGCACCTACTGAAAAAGGAAGATGTGCCAGCAAAGCCAGAGTGAAATCTAAATCTACTAATGGCTATTTGAAAAATGTTCACTCTAGGGAACTAAGAAATTACATCAGACCTACAAATTTATTAGCTGGGAAGTGACATTCCTCTTTCAGTGGTGAAACATGAACTTTGATCCATTTATGATTCTTACACATCTCACTGGCATTCCCAGGGTAAAAAAATGCATGCTACATCCTGTGTATGTGCAAACTAATGGCTATGGGCTAAAGCTTGTCATCCTGTGCAGGAAATTCTCAGATCCCTAGTTTGGATGGAAATTGTACAACCTCAAGCTTGAACAGTTTTTGTAAGTAATTTTTCAGATAGGCCATAAAGCTGCATATGCTATTTATCAAGGTACATTAAAAAAAATCCTCTAATCCCAAGAATGCTCTAGTAGCAATGGAAAAAAATCTTTAACATCAGTATTCTGCTAGAAAGTGAGTTTGCATTAAAGTAAATTTCTGGGCTAATTCCCATGGCTCTATTCTCCWTAGGTAAGGAAAAAACCACCCTGCATAACAAATTCAGATGTCCTCTATATGCTGAAGTCTGTAAAGGTTCATGACTGTCCTTTCTCATCCAGAAAGTCTTCATGGAAAGRGAGCCTGAAACATATTCAGCACAGTGGCGTGCTGACTTAATCCCATACTCACAGGGGCTYCTGGTCAAAGGGGAGAAATACAGAACTGTCATTCCCTTCACAGAAAGATCCAACTGGACGTTCTTGAAATGTGGACAAAGTTATTTACTTATTTTCAAGAGCTGCCTCCTGTTAAGACTACTAAATCCATAAGCAAACTAATTTCTGCTCTGGATTAGAGAGATGCAGAGCTTCTCGGGCCTCTTAGTRCTGCTGATTCTTACCTTTGATTAAAGTGATTAAAGGCCCATGTACAGCTAAGCCACTTTGGAATCACTGCACAGGATTTAGCTAACAAACTACAAGCTCAGAACAGCATCATCCACTTCAGTATGATCCAAAGGCAGCACAATCACACAGGAAAACTGTGTGACCACCACTACTTTGGAAAAGGAAAACCTGAGAAACAAACAATGCGTGAAAATGTGCCAGACACATATCTTGCTTGAACTGGATTAATTGAAGACAATTGTACTATATTAATTTTCGACAGCAAATAACTGGGCTTTTTTTTTTATATATATATATATATATATTGTCTTGGACTAACGAAAATCTTGAACTGCCATTTGCATTAAACCTGGAAAAGTACTGCTTTCCCCTTTTTGGTGTTTTTTTGATCTTCACTAGATAAAGTGGGGGATCTTCAGCCAATCCAAATGAACAATCATTATTAGCAGAATGGATTTTCAATAATCAATCTGGACTAGGAGCACAAGTCCTATTAAAAATGTGGAAAATAAACATCCAGAGAGTTTCCAGTGTCTGCTGAAACTCCTCCGAATAAGTTTTCATAAGACCAAATTTTTAGAAAACTTCAGGGCTTCTACATAAAAACAGTTTGGCTGGTAATTTAGAGGGGAAACAAGTCCCACTGGAGAAAACTTTTCTGTTTGTCCACACATGGATCTTCTGCACTTTGCATTGTCCTGTAAGGACTGGACATACAACAGTGTAGGACAAATACTGAACATTATTTTATATAAGAAGACAGTGGTCATCTAAAGCTTTAGCATAAAAATCAGATAAAGTGATTTACCAAAGTGGGAGTTTTTTTCTGTAAAATATTGATGTTTTTGTTGCCAAAAAAAGTCAAGAAATGCCTTCTTCCCATTTGTATAACAATAAGGTTTGATAGGTAGAATGTATGAAATATACAGTAACTTCTGAAAAGCTMTCTAAGCTTACTCAGCTTACAGTATGTGGAATGTAATTATCCAGAAAGTGAAATATGTATAAAAATAGGTAAAATTCCTACAATATTTGTATTGAGTCATAATTCCTCCTGCCAGGAAGGTTACAATAGTTCTACAGTATATGTATGAAATGCTTGTTCATAAAGTTAAAAAACATCATTACCTTACTGAAGAACACATTAAATGTAGGAATGCATAATCAGAACTGACTCTCAATTCTGCTTAGCTGGTGCAAATCTACAGAGAACCATCATCCTTTCTGTACAAAACAAGGCCAACCTCTAATCTAAGAGTTGGGGTTTTGTTTTATTGTTTTGTTTGCCATAGAGGGGCCAGACTGAAGTTTTAGAAAGAAATTCCTCTGGAGGTGGAAGTACATTGTTTAATATTTTTTCCCTATCTCGACTTTGTTTACTGGCAGCCGTTACCCACCTTTTAAAATTATTATTGCCTGACATTACATGGAGCTTTTACTGCCTGCTCAGAAGGAGGCAGTGAAATACGAAGAACCTCCAACTCCCCTGTCATGACCCAGTTCTGGGCTTGTGCTTTTTTGACGAGTCTTTGATCTACAGCCGGCCTCATAGGCTAGTCTCCCGGAGGAACATGGTGCCGATGTTGTAAGACACCTTTCTTACTCTGGCAGATGAGATGGAGGGTTTTGGTGGTTTCTGACCACTTCTGACCTCCAGGAAGTAACAGATCCCAGGAATTTCCTTTGGAAAGTTTTCTGGAAGCTCTTCACGGGAACGAGGGATAAAAATAAAATTTTCTTCCTTTTTCAAAAGCCTAGAAAAAAAAACAACAAAACAGAGAGCTATAAAAAAACTGTAAAATACAGTCCAGAAATGTCTCTTTGGAAGAGGTGGAGCCTATGTGCTACCAAGTAAAAAATGATTTAACATCAATTTGTAACAGCTAAAGAAATTCTAAGTCAGGATCCTCAGCTGATATGTGGGAACTTATCATCATTAAATTCAAGGAGCTCTGTTGACTAATTTCAAAGGAAGGGAAGGCCCCAAAAATCAGTGTCAGCATTCAGAAAGTAATGTACCAGAAAGGGAATCAAATTCATAATGATCCTTGTCCAGAACATATGATTTGGCTCAATTAAAACATTTCAGTCTGATCAGTTGGGCAGAAATTAACATTTCAGAGTGATGGCTACCACTAGATTTCCGGCTGAAAGGCAGGTAGGAAGGTGGCAGTGCTTGAGAGCTCTCACAGATCTCTCACAGATCTTGCTCCTCACTGCAAGGAGSTCAGTTTGTGCCCTTCCCACACTCAATAATTCTGTGTTTCATAAATTGGGTTCAAAAACAGCAAATCCAGCTCCAACACCAGAATCAAATCTTGCACTATTTACCAAAAGTATCCATGGGTTTAATCTAGGCTGTTTGGTTCAAAAGGCTGTTTTGGGTCAAAAAAGCATCCAGGTTCCCTGGAGCCATGAAGCCATCTCCTGGCATGCCCACTCAGGGGGTAAAATACCACAGACCCCACTATGGGGTCTGCCATTTGCCATCCTAGCCATGGTGGAAAAATCTCTGTCTGGCAAAAATTTAGGGCATCTTTATTGAGTATCTTCCCTAGAACCAGCTGGACTTGTAAAATAAAGAAAATAACTCTATACATTTTCTTTTTGTTTCCAAATAATTATGTAAATTAAGTTAGTGATATTCAACCCCTTGCAGCATTTGAAAAGGCAGTTTTGAGATGATGGAAAATTCTGAGCACAGTTGGATTTATGAAAGCATTCTTCCTCTTTTCGCTCCAAAGACATTTATTCTTTCTCTCAATCAGTTTGAAACTCAAAAACATAATTGGGAAGAATTTCMTAAGTTTCAGTGGGATTTGGCAATAAGTAGTTTATTTAATGTCTGTAAAGTTGATTTCTGGAAAGTAAATGAATGAATGAATCCTATTGCCAGGAGAATTTTCCAGGATTATCAGTAATGCAATGGCACTTCCTTTACTGAATACTTTTCATGGGTTTTTCATGAGGCAATCTGTGTGAATCATTGAGATATAAAGGCATTTTCTTTCCAGCTTTTAAATAATCACTTGGTTATAAACCAAACAACGTTTTTGCCTTTGAACTTCCGTGGAGGTTTTTATTTAGTGTGTGGTTTGAAGGTCCAGATTGTCAATTTTATGATCAAAATATTGCAACCTTTTCTAAATTGCRTGAATGTTTCTGGAGTGCTCTACAGAGAAGCTTTTCTCTTTTCATCTCTGAATATTGGCAGTAAATATTTTGTATTTCCAAACTACAGGCTTAAAATACTGAAATAACTCTTCACAGCTTCCCAAACTAGATTTCTGTAACAGCTGAAAACTTAGAACTTTCTGAGCTAAATCTGTAAGTTTTCACTGTAGCCACTTTTCCCCACACTACAGAGCCTCCCAAAAATCAATTGTTTCCTTATCAGAGTCTAATATCATGCAATTTTAATGACAGTTACACAAGTCCAAAACTGTAAAATGTATCTATATTCTTTGATTCAGGTCAGGGCTGGCATTAAGATTAGTTGAYATTTCACACTATTTCCTCATAGAAAAAAAAAGTGCTAGATATTAATTACCCATCTTATTTTCCCTTATTTTGTGAATTGTAACTTGGCGGCAATGAAATGCTCCAGGACTGACAGACAATTAGTCCTTTGAAGATTCCTCCACTGCTGCAGCTTATGAAAGACACCACATCCCTGCATTAGATGCACTGCTTGAATCAGCCTCTCACCCTCAGAAATAGTCCAGCTGACCTTTACTGGGATAACATTTCAGCTCTCAAGCAAGCATGGCAGGAAATTATGTTGCAGCTTAAACTGTGTAAAAAATGTCCCCATATTGTCCCATATTCAGAGAGTTTAAGCTGAAGTTACACAACCTCCGCAGTTCAGGAATATGCTTATAACAACWAGTCTGAAAATATGCCCAAGCATTTATCTTTGCTGATTTTCTGAATCACTTCTGTGAATTTCCCTTAAGGGCACTATTGCAAAGGATATTTTTATAGCAGGTTTTTCACAGGTTCAGAATTCTGGGTTCCACTCAAGTGGCTGGATAAACAATTTACAATTCAGAGCTCAAATTGTGAGGATGAGGGTACTCAGGCATTCCTATAAATTGCTTGGAATTAGGTCTGCCCTCATCTTGTCTTCTTTATTAATGTTTCAGGGGAGGAAGAATTTCTTAAACACTGATTTGCAGTTGATTAATTTTAACACCATCTCCTCCTAACCTGACATCTCCTCAAGTTTTTTTAATTCCTGTTCTGTCCCTACCTTGGTGGAAAGCCTCTTGCTTTCAGACAAGAAGAGATAGCTTCTAGAATTATGCTATTTTTTTTTTCTTTTCAGTTCCCTCATTTAAAAGAAAAAAGTCAGGAGGTCTGTGTCTGAATGAAAATTGGGATCATACTTAGTGGGATCCTGAAGAAGCTTTTAAAAGCTGTAGCTCTTTCTTCACATACATGAARTTCTAGGGTAATTATATTTCAAACTATCTTGGCAAGAAACAGTCCCATCTTCATCAGTTTSTATATTCAGAAAATCATTCAGTCAGAATATGCAGAGTGGGAAGAGACCCCATCAGGATCATTGACTCCAACTCCTGGCCCTGCACAGGACCATCYCCAATCTTCACACCATGTGCCTGAGAGCATTGTCCAAGTGCYCCTTGAACTCTGTCAGGCTGGTGCTGTGACCATTCCCTGGGGAGCCTGGTCCAGTGCCCAGCCACCCTCTGGGTGAAGAACATTTTCCTGAAGAACATTTTCCTGACATCCAACCTAAACCTCACCTGATTTAGCTTCACGCCTTTTCCTTGACTCCTGTCACAGGCCACAGGAGTGAAGAGATCAATGTCTGCCCCTCCTCTTCTCATGAGGAAGTTGTAGACACAACAAGGTCACCCCTCAGTCTCCTCTTCCCCAGGTTGAACAAACTAAGTGACCCCAGTCATTCTTCATTTGGCTTCCCCTCAAGGCCCTTCACCCTCCTTTGGACACTCTCTAATTGCTTTATATCTTTCTTATATTGTGGCACCCAAAACTGCCCCCAGCACTGGAGGTGAGGCCGCCCCAGGTCAGAGYAGAGYGGGACAATCYCCTCCCTTGTCCKGCTGCCRATGCTGTGYCTGATGCCCCCCAGGACACGCTTGGCCCTCCTGGCTGCCAGGGCACTGCTGGCTCATGTTCAACTTGCCATTACCAGGACTCCCAGGTCCCTTTCCACAGTGTTTCTCTCCAGCCTCTCACTCCCCATTCCGTACACACAAGAAGTGTTGCCTGGTCCCAGGAGCAGAATCTGGCACCTGTCCTTATTAAACTTCATGTGGCTCRTATGGCCCAGCCCTCTCATTTTACCTAAAGAATGGTGATTGCTCATCTCTCCAGTTTGAACTAGCRGAGTCTGGCTATTACAGAATTATTTGTTGCAAAGCACTCTATACTGAGCGCATGTTTCCCATGATGATTCTTACTCCCTTCTTCTTGTTGTTCCTCCATGCCCACTCTTYATCTCTCCATCTCTCCATCTCTCAGAGATGTTAGACTTTTGTACTTTTCACTGGATTGCTGAATCAGAGCACAAAAGCACCCACTCAGAACTAAACTTCAACTTAAACTTTTCTTTAGAGAAATTGGTCTGCATAGACCAAAATTTGAAACATACTGCTAAGAGAAATACAATGCTCCACAACACAGGAGACAATCCACTGCATTCCCAAGCATAGCATGCACCAAGAAAAGCACATTGGTCAGGTCAATCTTCCATAAATGCTATCTTTCACAGGAAAAGATACCAGCAAAAGAAAAACATTAACTAACTAATGCCCTAACTCTGAAAGTACTGTAAAACCTTTAGGGAACCTTGTCCCCATCCCCCACATTAATTGATACAATTGGGAAAATTTAATTAATGGCTTTCCAAACAGGCTAGGAGAAGACTGTCTCCTGCTGGAGTGGTGCTCCCTTGCTCTGTAGTAAAAAGTGCTGCTCCCTTTACCRGCTGGGGATCTGCTTGATAACAAAAACTAGATCATTTGTTTCCATATGAATATAGATAATGAATTACTGCCCCTTTGAAAGAGATGCTCTCCCACTGGATTGCAACCCCATTGGTTTGACCCCCTGATTTGACCATATTAGGCAGAAAAATATAGATGTAGATATACCTATAAYCTGTAGGAGAAATAATGCATACAAATAGATAAAACCTATAGGAAAAAGAATTTGATAAAAATAAAAATCTATAAACCTACAGAGGTTTAAATCAATTTTAAAGACTGAGAAGAAATTTATGCAGGTGAACACCCAGTGACCTCACCCAGCTCYTATTGAGGTAGACCTGGGTTGCCCTCTCTCCTAAATCAAGATAAAGATGTGCGATACAGGCTGTTCATCTCTGCCTGAGMTCAGGTCCCAGATGTATCACCCAGCAGGTGATAATGGAAAGTGTCTGTATCTAACACTGAGTGCCAGAAGCACATCCTCCACCAGGGAAATACATGCTGCAAAAGACCAGAGGTAGAAAGAAGAGGAAAAAAATACTTCCTTTTTAAATAGGAGTTACTTGATGAACAGAAACGATTATGTTTATCTGCTTTTGATAACTGCTTAGAAATCCCAAGGCATTACACAGAAACATTATTAGGAAAACAGGATAAATGTGAGTATGTTATATTAATATCTCATAAAAAATCATTATTGAAGGCTGAAACCAAAAATTAAAAAATATTTAATCTCTGTTCTGTGCTTAAGATCCTCATAATTATCATTGTGCTTCCTTCCTGAGTACAGAAAATAGGGTAATTCTATTCAATTCAGGATAATGTAGATGAATTAAATAAACTTTGAGTTGATTCTTTTCTTATTCCTTCCTGTCCACATGTTTTAACCATGTGGGACCAGTCTGGGATGCTGAACTTCCTCTCCAGCTTCCACATGTTTCACTGGAATTTTTCCCAGTGCTGATCCAGTGATTCAATTTCACAATGCTCAGTGATTCAAAGCAAATGCAGCTCCATGATCCTTCTGTTCAAAGACCTGTCTGAGTCAAGAGAACAAGATATTCCAAAGAATATCTTTGGATATTTAATATTATATTCCAAAGAAGTTAAGTTCCAGATTCAAAAGATGCAAAAGCCACCTTTGTAAAAGGTGTTGTTTCACACATAGCAGAGCTCTACCCAGGCAGGTGCAATGAGCAAGGCTGCCCCAGGCTCACTGCTGCTGCTAAGCAACAAATATCACACCTTGTATTCATAATTTTAGATTCTGATTCTTACTTAGGCAGATTACAGACTTGAAGGGAAGTGTCTGTAACCAATAGCTRTACTGAAAGGTGATTATTATTTGAATGCTGATGACACTTTAWGATGCATAATCTTTACTGCAAAATGAAAGCTGGTAAGTATTGGACATGTTTCCAGGACCTGCATGCTTTATAAGCACAAAATTTGTATCACAACTTCCATCAGGGGCCAGGGTAGACACAAACACGTAACGATAAATGGCAGCAGTTTCATCTAATTGAAAATTTTGCTGTTTTTATACTGACTGCAGAATTATTTACTTTGGAAAACACAGATTCTTAGGTAATAGAAATATTAACAGAGTGCATAGCAGCACAGTATGATCAAATAGAATAATTTAAGAGAAWATAAAGTCAAATACAAATACATTTCAATTTGAGATTAATCACTTTATACATGCAAATTATATTTAAGAAAAGTTTCACGTGGATGCATCGGATGACTACTTGTTTATTTGGACACCACCAGGATATTATGCTAAATCTCACAGATCACTTTCAGAAACTCTGAATAATTCTGCCCCTTTGAGTATTTTAAAATTGCAGTCTCTTCTGGCCACTGTGTCAGCAGTGTGATTTCTCGATTTCTTCCCTGTTTGTTTGCAAGCTTTCAACTATGCCAGAAGGCATGGTAGAAATCAATTTTCAAGTTGCCCTGTGCACATTCATTTTATCTTTGCACATAATTTCTGAATCTTGTAATATAAAATTGTTCCTAGCCTGATCACTACCTTTAGYCATTCATCTTGAATGATAACTGCATCTCATTCAAACCTATATTCTTGCCATTCCTACTTCCTTTACCTGTAATCATGTGTCTAGCCTGTTACTTCCTCTTAAAGGTCTCTGAATTGGGTACTGAGTCTGTTCATTACATTAATGTAATGAACCATTAGCAGATGGTTTATCGAGTACAATAATGCACATAACAAATACCAGTAACTGTGTATTTTGCTGTGTTTTGTTCTGCAGTTTTACRTTGCTGCATCATTACACTGACCGTCTCTTTTCTATCCTCTTCCCTTTCTGAAGCAATAGTCTAAATTGGTAACTTTCTGGATGGAGAGTACACACATGATGGTCAYACAAGGTGAAAGTTCAGCCATCTGGAAAAGAATAGTCCTATTCTGACTGGATTTTTAGGATTAAAGAGAAGTGAAAAAAACTGTAGACCCCTTTTTGATAAGCCTGAAAGATATGCAGGATGAGAAAATCTGAGTCACATTTTGGTACCTAGGACTTAGCAAGAAAGGTGTCCAAGGTAACTCACATATGACCTGCCGAGGTACGAGACAACCAGTGGCAGCCAGGCAGAGATGAGACACAGCCAAAGAGAAGCTGCCTTCTCTGTGCTACAGTGCACTGCCAGTCAGATAAAGGGCAGCACAAACACACAGAATTCTAACAAGCTCCATAGACTCAGGCCCTCAAACTTACTTTCAGTCTTTTTAGCAGCAGTGTGACAGGAAGATAACACAGTCACAGAACCATAGACCAGTGGGGTTGGAAGGGACCTTTAAAGCCCTTCTAGTCCAACCCCTTTGCTATGAGCAGAAACGCTTTCAATTTGATCAKGTGGCCCAACAATGACCACAAACCTTCATTTCACAGAGGCAGCGCCACATCAAAAATAACTAAATTCAACAGAACTGGCACTGGCACACGGAAAGTGACTCTGGCTCCAGCATGAAGAGAGCTCTGTGCACCACAGGTCCCACAAATACTCACTAGTTTTATTTCCATAAAGCTCTCTAGCTCACCAGTTTCTGCTGTCAGGGACACAAACATGAGCAAGCAACACCAGAGCCCTTAGTGCAATCACTTCCCTGAACCACATTTTGAAGCACTAAGATCTCTCTTCTGAAAAAGTATGGAGTACACTTTCAGAATATCTTGAAGACTATCTTGGGTTGGAGGCCATCCCTTTATAAGAACTGATCAAGACTGTTCAAGAAAAGCTCAGGTCCCTGTCATAGGGTCTAGGTTGCGTTCTGCCAGACAACAAACCACACACCAAAGGAGCTGCAGCTGTGGAATTTTTGCAACTGGGGCACAACTGATGAACAAGCTTGTGCTTACTATTCAAACAAGGTTTTAGAGGGTTCCTCCCATTCCACAGTGGATGACTGAGACCCAAAGACTGTAGAACACTGTACCTTGTAGGTCCCAAAGACAATTTCTTTTCAAATGGTAACGAGTTCCAAACAGAAATTTCCTTTTTATTTAAATTAAAATATTTGCTGCAAACATTAATAAATCATGTCTTTCTCTTGCATGTTACCAGACAAGTGTATGCATCTATTTCTGTTCACTTTATGACACAAGGCCTATTCAGTTATTCTACCTCTTGTTCAATTTGCTACACTTGCTTCATTCTCAAAATCTGATCTCGAGTGAATGGGCTCTTCAGAAGAATGTCACTTTATGCACTACTTTAATTACTTTAATTTCCGACTGATTCGTATTTTAGCATAGCAGACACTTCAATACTTGGATGAAGAAATCCCACTTAAAATTTTTATTTACACAGACAGCTATGGAAAAAGAAATAAATATTGAGATTCGCAGTTGTGAGTAGGAAAGAAAAAGAAAGAAAAGCAATATTGTTTGAGCAACTGTGTACAGATTCAGTGCACAGTTTCAAAACCCTGCTTCAGAAAATTACTTCAGATACAGAACACTGGAAGATTGAGATCTCCTGACAAAAAAAAAAAAAGTGAGTGCCTCAGCCGTAATTCAAGCAGTAGAAATTCTAATAGTCAAACTGTCAAATTTGAACAATAAGGAACACCTTTTTTATTTAGGAGCTGTTCCTCATAACCAGATTTAATCAAGCCTTCTCTCTATTTGCATAATTACTTCAAAAYGCTAGGGATAATGCTTTGCCATTTTCAATCTTTTTTCCTACGTTGAGAGAAGGCTTCTATCAAGTGTGCTTCTATCTTTACAGTGCTAAATAAAAAAATCTGTCTTCAAGAAAGCATAAAATCTCTTTGTAAGCTTGGCCTTACTTGCAAAATTAGACTTCCTTCTGGGACAAYGGGAGTATTTAGAGTGTGGAACCCAAATCCTTAGTCAAAAGCTGTAACAGTGCATAAAACTACACTGCTTTGGGAGAGATCTCCCACTTTTTCTGTTACACCTTATTTTAGGCAGGAATGGCTGTCCTTTCTGTTGTGTCTCCTCACCTCCACTGACTGACATTTTTGCACATTCTGATACAATCCTGCAAACGMAATACTGACATCCCCAAGCAACACCTCTTCCCAATTGTCCTGGTGCCCTGCTGACTTTCTGTTGAAGTTCATGTGTTGGGGACATGGCATGTTACAAGATGGAACTGAAAACAGGCTCAAATTAAAACAGGAAAGGCTTAAGAGGACTTACTGGTACGTGGTGGGACTGACATTGATGCGGCGTGGGTGACTTCCTGATTCAAACTTGCTTGCAAGGGTGACGTTGTTCCCAAAGAGACAATAGCGTGGCATTCTCACACCAACAATGCCGGCCAGCACGGAACCTGAGTGAATGCCTATCCTCATCTGCAAAAAACACAAAATCCATGTCAGTCTGACTCTCTTGTGCCACTCATGGTGGCGTCATTAGCATTCCATATCGAATAAAGAATAAACCAGAGAAGAAAGAGTGAAGAAAACAGGGTCTTCTATTCCATTAGTTTAAATCAGATGCAGTTAAAAGAAAGAAGAACAAAACATGGTTATTTTTTTACCAAAACTATTTTCTTCTTCTGTGCACATTTGCTGGAGATTATGATAGTCAAAAGAGAAACCATGAACAGAACAGGATAGGATCATCCAGAGTTACTGCAGTATCAGCTGTCTAATTACACAAATAAATACATTAGAGAGGGTTATTTTTTCCACCACTTCTAACACAGGCTTTAAACTAAGACCCAATTTTTCTTGAACAGGCAGGAAATGTAGTTAAGTGGTGTGAATGGGTAAGTTGCTTTTATCTCCTTGATATTTTTCTTCCAAACTCTTCAAGGTCTAAGGTCTTTCTCAGTTTGTCAGACTGAGAGATATTGAAGTGGTGAAAATGCTGAAGGACTGAGGCAGCAATGATTTTTAAAGTGATTGTATCCTCCTAAAATTAAGGAGGAATAAATCCCCAGCAAATTAAAAAAGTGACTATTCTAGCAATCATCCCCTATAACTGTCTGAGATGGCAATTGCATAGAACTGTAGAGCTCAGAGTCACCATCCAAGTTTCTTTCAGAGTGAATAATCACAGATTTATTTTGCAAGCATTTTAGCTACCAATTGTGTTTGCCAAGAAAATAATTTTTACAGATAGGGAAATCTTTTTCTCTTGCAAACTTTATAACAGTAAAAAATTGAAAAGAAGATATTTATAACTTCTGAGGATACTCTTGCTCATAGCAATTGGACTGCTGAAAAGTATAAGATGAAGGAAATAAACAGCAGCTGCTAAGAGGGTCTGATGGGGTATGAATGAGTGACTTACCTAACACCAAACTCAGTATGGTTCTTTGACTTATTTAATTCACAGTTATTGCACTGTGCTTTTGTCTGTCAGTTCCTATTTTTTTATAACAAAATACATATGGATTCAAACAATTTATCACAAATTAAAAAATCATTGTTACCCTTTTTATGTAAAGAAAATGCCAGCATTTAATACCATTGGGGTCCACAAAGTTCTAAKAACATGTGTGACCCCACATTATTTCACTGACTCTGGTTCTTCCCACGTGCCCAAGACTTTTATCACACAGCTAAGCACTCTTTTAATCTGTTCCTCTCTTTTATGTCACAAACAATAGGTTTTGAATTATATCTGCTGTTTGGTAAGCTCATGCATAACCCAACAACATGTTCTGTGTTCAATGTGATACTACTTAATAGAACACAAATCCAAACAAAGCAAACAACCTAGTCTGTAATGAACAGCATTGTTGTGAAGATTGAGGGTTTTAGCCTGCTTGTGAGAATGTTGATTTTTTTTTTCCCCTAAATCTGTGAATCAAATGATTTAATTGAMCTTTTAAACTTTTACTATGGTTTTGAAGGCAGGTACTGAAATCCTTCAAATACTCTGTTCCACAGGGSTGGGAAGCATCCACAAACTTGGTTTGCCTGCTAAGATTGATGCAAATACATCACACATATTATTTTGGTCATATTTTGGGGCAATAAGATTTCTTGGTTTTGCTACAACATTTAAACTCCACTGCTCATTACCAGTAAAAAAAAAAAAAGTGCTCCTGCAGTCACAAAGTGAGCAAAGAGCCCTTCTCCATAGAGGTGAGSTCAGTACCTGCCCTCGGTGAAAGACTATGCTCACATAAGTACACTGTCAGCATTCAATAAATAATTAACAACCTATTTACAATGTCTTGTTCTCGTGAGATGGGAGGTGAATGAGTCATTTTGCACACAATTTTAATGAAACCTATTTGTTCCACTGCTATTCTGTACATTTACTTCAAAACCACAAATTAATTGTGTGCTGTGATCTCTTCTAGGGTCCATTCAATGACATGAGAAGGCCAGATTGAAACTACGTATTAGCTTTGTTTTCCTCTGAAAAAATAGGGATAAGAGTATACATCAGAGTGGAAGGAAAATACGATAGCAGAAAATGTCTCAAGAAAATAAAAGTTGCTTTTGCAATATATGCAGTGAAAGCTGAAGTTGTTGTTGGTTGTTTTTTTTTTTTTTTTTTTTTTTTTTTTTTTTTTTTTTTTTTTCCTTTTATGTGGTCACATAGTTTTTTTTTTTGTCACTCAGTGCTTCAGGGACAAAAGTNTGAAGTTGTTGTTGGTTGTTTTTTTTTTTTTTTTATTTTCATTCTTTCGTTTTCATTGCCTCCTTTTATGTGGTCACATAGTTTTTTTTTTTGTCACTCAGTGCTTCAGGGACAAAAGTGAGGGTTCTTTTGTACTCTCGTAAGAGCTTTTTAAAAAACACATGCTCCTACAATAAAAAAGGTAGATATATTCTCACAAACACTGGTTAAACTACATAGAGAGTGTCAAAACCTGAAGTTTTMATTGGATGGAAGAAAGTTGGTGCAGTCTTTCTCATTAAACCATAGAGATAAATTACACCAAGAATGGCTTACAATAAAGCTCCACTCTTGCTTTATTATACAGCTCTCTACAAGAAAAGAGCCTGCAAAAACAGATGCCATTACCATGAAGCATTCCTTCTTATACCATGAATAACAATTTCATTGGTTGTATAGTACTTTTCAGTGAAATATGTTTACTTACAAATGTCTTTTCAAGATTTTACTTCATTTGAAGATACGCTGTTCTGTTTGTTTTTTTTGTTTTTTTTTGTCACTGAGTTGAAAAGTGTTGTGTTAACAGCTTAAACCTCTGTTTTACAAAGGAAGAAAATGGGTGATCAAGTTATTAATAAGAAGGTACTTATTGGGGCACATCAACATTTCACATTACCTTTGCAGGAAAAGAAAATCTGCCTAGACCACTTAACTTAGAAAAATAATAAGAAGAACAGTTATACATGTATAGTTATCTTTCCCAAGCTATATTGTATATATATCCTTCATCATTGCTTTCCCAGAACAGTCACTATTAAACATGAATAARAGCATATAGAGTGAAACTAGGTGACAACACCAGGATGCATTATTTATCTACTTTGTTTGYTCCTTCTAATATATGTGTAGTATAAATAATACATTTATTATCTGTCTTAAATGGAGTATTTTTGATAAAATGCATGCTCCTCAACAGTACCAGCTCCTCCTTTGCATGTCCTTAAYTATTTGGCTAAAGATAGAGGGGCAGTATGTAATTGAATCCGAAAGCTCAGGGGCATTATGCACACAAACAGAAGGACAGATCCTTGGAAACCACCACAAAGAGGAGACAGCCATGAAAAAACAACCAGTAAGTACCAGTCCTCCAACAGTTAAGGAAGAATGAAGAGACCGACAGAATCCAAAGACATTTCTGAAGCACAATACTGGAAGGCACAATGGCAAAAGAAACATGAACAGGTGGGAAAAATAGCAAGAGACCTGTGAGAGATCTTTTAGATAAAGAGGGACAACTTGAACTGAGTCCAATGGAAAGATCMAGAGTGGAAAATGAGAAAAAAAGATTAACAAATCTGATCTTTGCAAGAGCTGTGGTAATAGTGAAGTGGAGAAAAGCTGATGAGTCAGAGGTGTAAAAGAAATGCAGCCTGCACTGATCAATGTAGTACGAGAAGAAAGACATAGCAATGTGGAAAGCAAAAGAAGCTTCCAAAATCTGGATAGAAAATGTAGCAGTATTTGGGTATTTCTTACAGGATACGGCACACAGAGCAGAAATGGCTGATACCTGAGTAACAGGAACGACAGTGATTTTGTTTAATAGTGACAAAGAGGGTTCAAAAGGAAAGATGAAGAGCACAGGTCATMATCTAATGGGGAAATGTGCCAAAAGTGATGTCAATGAGAATGGATAACCCAGACTGGACTGCAGGAGGAAAGTCAGAAACAAACAGGAACAAGGATGAACAACATAAAAATATTTGTTCTTTTTCTGAATCAAACATTCTGTCATTCTGTTACTGAATTTTCTGATGTCCTGAATCTTAGAAAAATTGTGTGTGACTTCCTTATACCTCCTCATTGCCAAAGCATGATTTTCTTTTTTTTATATCTAGAAGAGCTGGTAGTTTTGCTTTATCTAGTTTTGTTTTCTTTTTATCTGCTGTGCATTTCAATTACTTCCAATAGCCTGAACACCTTCTAAGGCACCACACTGAAAATTGCACTCTTCCATCAAATTAAAGCTATTCCAAATGAGATGAGAGTAAATGCAACACAGAAAACTCAAAATCCATCTACACTGACTTAATGGTGAACTGGCAACAATATTTTAATAACAAGAAAGGAATGCAGTGGTCTAACTGARGTAAATTTCATCATTGCTAACTTATTTCTTAATAGGTTTTTCTGTTAATCAGTAGTCTCACAACAACAAAAAAAAATCCAGTGATTTTCTTTATGGTCAAAGCTCTTGAGCTTTTTCTCTTTTGAAACCCTGCTGTTGAAAAACATATTCTCCTTTCTTTGTTTCTCCACATAATTTTCAAGGCAAWAATTAGAATGGAAGTCAAAGGACAGTCTGAGAAGTAGCACTTGTCTACTCAAGAATATTTTATAAAACCTTAAATCTACCATTTTTTGACTAATATATGTCTGCATATTCATAACTAACAGAACATATTAGCCTTATTTCCCTTCAGTAAAAGACTGAAACATTGCATAAATACTTAAACATAATTCCTTTATTAATTAGATCACAGAAAAATGGTTCAAGCTATAATGATTCCTGAAAGGAAAATTAACTGGGTTTTGCATTTTCCTCAAGCTTCTTATGTACATGGTGCTGTTTAAAACTATTTGCAGTCTTTGTTATGGACTTAAAAATCTATTTCAACAGGCATGGCTCATGCTTCATTCAGAAGAAAAGAGACTGAAGAAAGAGAAGAAGAAAATAGAAAAGAAGAAAATAGGCAACAGCATGAAGAAT